TGGGAGTGAAATTTTTACCTTCTCTTCAGAAGACTACCAGAGGATTCTGAATATGGGAGAAGAATTAAGCAACCAGGGACTAAGGATAATAGGAGTTGCGATAAAAAGGCTACAAATGGTGTGTCTCAATATCTCTGTTTTATTTCTTCTCAAGGTTAATTTTTTGCGTACATCACTTCCCTAATCTACAAATGTTGATTGTTCATCAAATATTTAAGCCTTGCAATTATTCTTTTTCCCTGGCAGACAACCTCCATAACATGTCATGCATGGCAGGCTAAAATTTGCTTACAAAACAAGCAATCCCATCCAGCCATCTCATGATAAATAACCTTCGTATATTTTTGTGTAATGTTTGCAGCAAGGAAGTCATCCAAACATGGCCAATGAGGAGATCACTGAATCAGACATGGTCTTCCTTGGTGTAATAACGTTCTTTGACCCCCCAAAGGACTCAGCAAAGCAGGCTCTATGGAGGCTAGCTGAGAAGGGAGTAAAAGCAAAGGTATTAACAGGCGACTCGCTATCTCTGGCAGTAAGGATTTGCGAAGAACTTGGCATTAGAACCACCAATGTAACTACAGGACCGGAACTTGAGCAACTAAATCAGGATGACTTTCATGAGACTGTTAAAAGTGCAACGGTGCTTGCTCGGCTAACCCCTACTCAGAAACTAAGGGTGGTGCAATCCTTGCAGACTGCTGGTGAACATGTCGTTGGATTCCTAGGGGATGGAGTTAATGACTCGCTCGCGATAGATGCTGCCAACGTCGGTATATCAGTTGACTCAGGTGCATCGGTTGCAAAAGACTTGGCAGACATCATTTTACTTGAGAAAGATCTGAATGTACTTGTCGCTGGGGTTGAGAACGGTCGCCTCACTTACGGCAACACCATGAAGTACATTAAAATGTCTGTTGTAGCCAACATAGGAAGTGTTCTCTCACTCCTGATAGCAACACTGTTGCTGGAATTTGAGCCATTGACTCCGAGGCAGCTCCTTACACAAACTTTCCTTTACAGTGTGGGTCAAATCGCAATCCCATGGGACAAGATGGAAGAAGAATATGTAAAGACCCCCCAGAAATGGTCTGAGAAAAGTTTGCCCATCTTCATATTATGGAATGGCCCTGTGTGCACCCTCTGTGATCTGGCCAACCTTATCTTTTTGTGGTTCTATTACAGTGATTACTACATATTCGATGTCAAATTCTTCCATTCTGCTTGGTTTATTGAAGGCCTTCTAATGCAGACCCTAATTTTCCACTTAATCCGAACGGAGAAAATCCCCTTCATTCAGGAGATATCCTCGTGGCCTGTACTCTGTTCAACGGTGGTGATCTCTGCCATTGGGATAGCAATTCCTTTCACGAAAGTTGGAGAAGTAATGGGATTCACTCCTTTGCCATTCTCATATTTTGGATTTTTGGTTGTGCTTTTTCTAGTGTATTTTACAGTTGGTCAAGTGGTCAAGAGAATTTATATTTTGATATACAGAGAATGGCTGTAGAGAACAGCGAAAGAGAATATTATTCAGAATGAATAATGTAGCTTCTATGCTTTTACAGGATCATCCACAGTTCATGTGGAATTTCTCTGGTCTCACACTATTATTGACCTTGCAAATTGCCACAACAAATGTACGGATGGTAATGCTTATTCATGGCGCCAATAGACCACCACCGACCATTCAGCCCAGATCGAACAAGCCCCATAGCCCTTCCTCCCTCTCTCACCGAATCCTCACAACCACCGAAGAGAACAACCTTCCCTTTCCCTCCATTATGCAACCCGAACAAACCAGCCACCAACTCGAAAGGCTCAGCCACCCATCTCTCCACCACGAACCAGCAGTAAACAAGATAACACTAGCAGAGCCAGCCACCATAGAACCCATCCACTCTCGATCAGCCATCACAGCAGCGGACCAGTCTTCCTCTCTCTCTCCCTTGCCAACACCAACCCAATTCATAAATTTTAAGAGCTTGATTGATGGGAATTAGTTTATTTAATAGATTTTAAAAAAATTTAAATGATTATTTTTTATTTTTAAAAACCAATATTAAATAATAAAATTTAAAAATAAATAATAAAACACAAAATAAAAAAAATATTAAGTCATGAAAACTTTTCAATCCATAGTCTAAATAAAAAAATATCATATATATAGAAAAATAATTAAACTCAATTCCAAATAAATACAACATTGAATAATAAATTATCATTATTATTATTATTATTGTTATTATAATTATTATTCTTATTGTTTATTATTATCATTACTAATATTGTTATTATCATTAAAACTACTATTATTAATGTTATTATCAATAAATAATATCATAATTATTATTAATATTATTATCATGATTATTATTATATTAATTGTTATTATCATCGCTATTATTATTATTATTTTGTGTTATTGTTATAATTATTATATATGTCACTATAACTAACAATAATTTAAATTTTTATTGTTAATACTATTATAATTTTTATTATTATTATTGCTATCACAATCACAATCATAATTATTATTATCGTTATTATCACAATTATTATTATTATTACTATCATCATCACAATTATTGATATCGTAATTATTACAACTATTATAATAAAATATTATTATTATTGAAATAACAAAATTATAAACTTGTTTTGATGAATAAAATAAAAAAATCATAAAAACTTTGACAAAAAGCAAATAAAATAAATAAGAAATCAAACAAAAAAAGATCAAACTAAAATAAATATTATTACCATTAAAAAAACCATAAATTTGATTTAAAGGGTAAAATTAAAAACTATAAAAACTTTGATAAAAGAGCCAAGAGAAAAAATAAAAAATTAAAAGTTAAAGTACTGAATTGAAAAACATAATATACACAAATTAGAATTGAATAATTAAATTGTAAACAAATAAAAAAAATGAACAAAATAAAAAATAAAAATAAAGAGGATGAATTCTGAAACACCAACAAAAAATAGAGATGGATTTAGGAGGATTGAAACTATACAAGAAATAAAAACAAAATAAAAAATTGAAAGAATGAGTATTGAAATAAAAAACAAAACATATGAGATATTGTAATTAAAGAACAAAAACTTCTATAAAAGAAAGAAGATGAAATAAGAAATTCAAATAATGAGAACTAATTGAAAAACAACAAACAAAGAGGATAATTATGCATTTTAGCTTTTATGAAAGAGTAAAGAAAAGAAAAATTGATATCGGTTGCGCATCTAGAGAGATAATGCATGGCTAAATTTGGCAAACGGATGGTGTTACACGCACCACTGGAATGGCACGTACATCGCCTATTTACTGATGTGTGTAATATACGTGCTAGTGGCTTATCAAATAAAAAATCAAAAATAAAATGTGAAAAATATTAAAACACTCCTCATATGTTTAAAATTTTTATAATAATTTGTTTATAATAATAAAGATATGTTTGCTTGGGTTGGACAACAATATGTGATGTCAAACTCAGGTGCGTGAGTCTACAAGCCCAAGAACGCAAGTCTAGCAGATATGTTTGATCTTAATGTCAAATGTCTAACAATTATATCATTCTCTAACGTCAAATCTCAAAAAACCCAAATAGACCATTCTGACCTTAATAATTTTTTTTTAATGTTAAATATATCTCATGAAAAAAATAATCTCATCCCTAGTTGCATGCTCAGCAAGTTTTTTTGGTAAGGATAATTACATCATTATACTGCTGCAATCCTTAATAATATATGTTTTAGTGAACATTGAAAACCCCACACCAACCCAGGCGAGCGGGTCTAGCCTAAGCGCCTAGAATTTGGCAGAGATATTTAACCCCAGTGCCAACTATCTAGCTGCCATATCATTCCCCGGTGCCAGACTCTAAAAACTATGAACAAACCATTTTATCCTCAACCATTCTTTTAATGTTAAATGTATTTAATGGAAAAGATAACTCCACTCCTGTCTGCATGTCTAGCAAGTTTTTTTTTTTGTAATGACAACCATGTCATTGCACTATTTCAATACACAATAACCTGTATTTTGATAAATAGTAAAAGGATGAATAGTGAAAACTCAATGCTATTTAACTTTTGTTATAATAAATTTTTTTGATACTGGTCGAAAATAGGAGATATATTGATTTCATTGAAAAGAAACAAATCAAAAACTTTTTTTTAAAAAAAATCTGGACTAAAGACCATCTGTGATGAATAAATGCCAGGGAATAAAAATACATTCTTTCAAAACGTTTATCTCTAATTATCCCTTCTCCCTTCTAATGCTTTGTTTTTTTGCTTTTTTTTTTTTTTAAAAAAAACGCTCTCAGTTATTAAGTCAGTTTATATCCCACACAAGGAAACTTTTTGTTCTTTACAGATCTGGATTTTCAGCAAAGCACCGAGGCAATAATTTAATTCTGCAAGTCAGGGACACCACCAATAGATGACCTTTTTACCGACTCGATAACCAATTAATTTACATGAGAACCATGAATTTATAAAATAAATGATAGGCAGGTGAGGGTGGATAAAGCATATGCAGTAGCATTAAAAAACATTTAAACACCAAAAAAAAAAAAAAACCCTAAATTTGTTTCCTTGGCTTCACAGAGTTGAACTTGCCTATAAATTCCATTAATTTAGATCAGTAATAACATTTAATAAAGCTAAGTCATTTCAATTTGAATTTCTTTAGAAATGTTGAGAAGAAAAACACAGTGACGCTGTAAGGAATCACCTATATGTATCCGCCACAAACATTAATCAAATCAGTTGAAGCAGCGAAGATTGACAAAAGTACTGTTACCATAGTCTTTAATCTATAATAAAAACCTAAAAACCAAAAAAATATATATATCTGCTTTTTGATATTTTTCAAAAAAGTGTTTTTGTTTTTTAAAATCATTCACGGAAAGAAATAAACGCAGAAATTTTTTTCACTGCACGGTGAGAAAGATCATATCATGCATGAGGGTGGGCAATGCATCATGAAATAAGAAAAAACTTAAACAGATATATAATTATAAAAAATCCATGAATGACAGGGGCTACTGACAATTACAGTTTATGGCCAGGGCTCCCTTACAACTTCCTTCGTATGGTGAAAACAGCCGCAGGGACACCATAAACAATAGTAGTTACAGATTCAAGTCGACACCATAGTTGTGCATTCTCGAAGGCTTTACTGCAACAAGCAACAAATCAATTGACTCGGTTGTCATAAGAATAAACTCTCCGTGGTCATTTTATGTGGGATTTGAATGTAGTTAAAGGGTTTACTTCTTGCTTGATGCCATTACACCATCCTGTTCAAAGGGATTCCTTCATTTTGGTGAACAACCCGTTCCACCGGGGAGATCATCTGTGGCATTGTCATCCCTCCAGAAACAATGATCTCTGCATTTAAACAACAATAAAGAAATAAGCCTGCATCAGAAAACTTGTAAAAACAAGACTAACATTTCATACATTCCCTTTTCCACAATGCAAGTCAAAACTTTCAACAATAAGCCCCATTTGAAACTGAAGTCCAGATGCATGATATTTTCTCAAGTGTCTACTAAACAATCCTTAATGAACTTTCTTACCAAGATGTAGTTAGAAGTTGCTTGCCTAAGTTCAGGGTAGTATATGACTCGATAGAGTCTTGTGTTACAAACTTATGAAAATATGAAACATTGGAATGCACACTAGTAAATAAATAAGACCATGCTTTGTGTACCTTTACCCCCCTAATATCATTCCCGTGCTCTTTTATATGCAAATCGGATCTAAGTCACAGTTCTTTATTTCTTCCTACATTCAGTGACTTCGGAATTTAAGTGCAATAAAGGATGTGATCCATTCATAACTAAAGCACGGAGCTCTTATCCTTGACCATGTCTCTAGTGATCCTTATTTGCAAATTGCAAGTGAAGTTCTAACACTTGAATAAATCGAAAAAAATAAAATAAAAATATCAAATTGCATGAAAAAAGAACCAAGGAATAATAAATTAGAATAAGACTGAAAGTTTAGTAAAGTATGGTTTTGCTGAGATGATTTTATCTGTACTTGTCGGACTACACTGCATTTGAACTCAGAAAAGCAGGCAAAGAGGACAGCATCAATAATTGAAGGTTCAAGCACAGCATAAAAACTTCCATTATTCATAAATTTAAAGGTAGATTTTTAACATGATTTGGGGCTTAGAATCATGTTCTGAATAATTTAATGACGACAGATGATCTATAAAAGTAAAAAATGCAAAAACAAAAATAAGAAACAAAACAATGATATGCTGTCTTACAAATTCAAGCTTCCCAGCAAACAAAAGTCCATGTTTCCTAAGCAACATGATAGATATGGCTATTTCATAATACCACACGTACCTATTCCTTCTCGAATTGACAGATTTGGTCTTATAATGTCCTTGGAATTCACCAGGAATACATCACCAATATATAGATGGTTTGTAGGAACAAAAACACTACACAACTCTTCATCTTCATTATCTCTCTGAAGTCAATAACCAAGAGAGTCAAAGTTCAAGAACTCAGAATGATTCTTGGTATGAAGAAAAAGAATGTTCTCTTGAGATACTCACACAAAAGGAAAAAAGATTCTTTTGCAATATAAGTTCATCACCATAAAGCAAATACCTGGAGGATTACTGTTGATGTGATGAAACCAAAAGCATATTCACCTACACGAGGATGATGAATGATTGCCACCTCTTTGAAAGCTGTGGTATTCTGATCTGTAGAGATTATAGGTTCGATGTCAGTGTCAACTGTCAAGACACCTCACACCTAGTAAGCATAACTTCAATAAAAATGATCATGGTGATGGCATCTAGACAACTGCAAAAATAGCAGAAAATAACATGCTCCGAGACCAACATTTCTTAGACAAAAACATATCTTCATCCATGCTGCACATCCATAGTGACATAGTCACGAGGGACCAAAGACATCAATCTTCAACACTTAAGTTCAATTCCTAATGCAGTATTCCACAAGACTTAGATTCCAGATTGAACGAGAACTGGAAACATGACTGATTTAAATCAACATCACACCCTATGCAGCATATGACAATGTCTTTAAATTTTAGACAATTCAAAATTTGCATACAAAAATGTTATCCCATATAGCATCAAACTCCAAGCACAGCCAGTAGCGATCCAAACCAAGCCCGAAATTATGTTGATATTATATATGATAAATTCTAACATAATGAAAATATTAATTTCAGTGACCAATGTTAGATCACGACTTCCAAAGCATGACTGCTGCATAAAGCAACTCCTGCTTTCTAGCTGACACAACGGAAAAATTGATGTCTTTTTCCAAGTGCAGGAGTGTCGAAGTAATAAATAACCCGGTAAGACCGGGGTCGAACCACATGGAGGTTAATTATACATATTATAAGTAACAATAATACAACAACAACAACAACAACAACAACAACAACAACAATAATAATAGTAACAACAACAACAATAATAATAATAATAATAATAATAATAATAATAATAGTAGTAGTAGTAGTAGTAATACTAATACTAATAATAATAATAATAATAAAGAAAGAAAAGAAGAAGAAAAAGATGAGAACTTGGAGATAGAATATCAGTGTAAAGATTAAACAACAATAACAATAAATGTCAAGGTTAGAGGTTCCACTAATAGTATGTCAAACAAGTATAGTATAAACTCTTATTATTCAATTGGAAACCACACACAAAGGAGGTTCCAATCAGATTATAGATTGTTAACATGATTACATTAGTTATCTTATTCGATTAATGCTAGTACTTGTAAATCTCGTCAAGCATTCATGATTATAACTTATGTTAACAACAAATCAAGTTCCTTTCATAGCTCAGGTGTCGGTTATACCATACAGTATGAACTATGAAAGTGTCAAGCATTTGTTGTACCAAGTGTTATACAACATAAATCAAGATTAGTCATTTAACAAGCAAAGTATTAAAGAGTGAATAAGATAACAAATACAAAACATGTTAGTATCAAACATTAAAGTCCATTTTGAGTTTACACTATACTTATTCTTACACCATTAATGTACCCTTTTCACCTTGACATAATAAACTTAGCTAGACATAATAAAAGAAAAAAAAATAAACAAAATAAGAACATAAATAAGATAAAAGTTAGTTAAGTAAATGAAAGGAAATGAAAGGCATAAACTTGATATTAATGAAAGCAAAGCATAAACATTACAAAAAATACAAAGAGAGAAAGCAAAAATATGATCTTGATCTAGAAACCAAGATGCCTAAATGCATGGCAAATGCCTCCTTTTATAGGCCAAAATTGGGAACTATTGATTTGATGACTAATTGATGAGTGGGTGGCCAACTCTTGACTTGGTGACAATCCTTATCTTCTCTTGTCTACCCAAAACATCATTGATAACGTCAAAATTGGAGCCACTTAAAACATAAAAGTTGTAGGCAATTATCTCAGCTTTCTTGTGTAAAACATTCAGCTTATTTGGACTTCTAGAACTCCAGATATGGCCAAAATACTAAACAGTGCCCGAGCTGGAGGACAGATTCGGGCTTCTTTGTTGTTGCTACAATTTGGACTTGAAAATGACCTTTTTAGATCTTGGGCTCCACATGAAAGTTGTAGGCCTATGTCTTACCTTTCCATCCATATAAATTAGACCTAAATCTGAGATCTATAGCTCTAGATATGACCCAATTATCGAACAATGTTCCGATTTGGATTGCATCGACATGTCTTTTCTAATTTTGGTCATCTCTTTGCCCTTGCAATTTAAGTTGTTAAAGTCATCAATCAATCCTTTCATTTATGTGATAGGCCTGCATTTAAAATGAACATTTACCACAAATTAAAGGTATCTTATATTATTAGATATATTATTATAAAACATGCTTTAGTTAAGGAGTTATTAATACTTCAAGTGCAAAATGATGATATAAAACCATGATAAAAATGCACTTTTAAGTACTAATCACTAGCCAACAAGGTGCAGTTGGAACTAATTTTTCATTGCCAGATCCCCTTATGCAATCAAAAATAGAATGTTTATCATAACCTGAAGAAATTGCAGCACTAATTTGTTTGGAGGCTGAAAATAAATGCTTCACAAAGGGCATTCGCTTTATAAACCATTCCCCAAGCCAGAAGATGGTGGAACCTATCCATGATGAAAAAAAAACACCAACAAAGAACACAAACACTAGAGATGTGACAAATCCAAGTCCTGCATCATTGAACAGATTTTTTGAGATAAATCATTGCACATTTTAACAAACAATAATTTTCTGTAACCAAATGAGACCCAAAAAGTGTTTGAAGAAAAAACATCTGAAACACAATAATCATCCAGAGTAATAAAATATGTGTGAAGAAGAATGCATTTAATGATCCATCAGACATGCAGATCCAAATGGTGCTTAACGTTCCAAAAAAGTTTATCAATACTGGATACCTTAGCACACGGAAAAAACAAATTTCAAGCTTATCTTTTGAAGCCTTGGTTTTCTCCTTGGTTCTTGTAGGGTTTGGGTTGCACATATTTTCAGGTGATCTCTTGCAAATTTTTTTAATACTCCAATAGTCAGATGAGATCGAAACAGTGCAAAAATGTTCACTGAAAAACTTCTTATTAGCTTTTCTTATTCAAAGTAAAGGAATATTTATTTTTCACAATAATTCTTTGCCAATGTTGTACCAAGAGCAGCACACCACCTTAAAGGCAGTCAGGCAACCAGGCTCTCTATGCACTAGGCCATTGGCAAAATGATTGAAAACCAGCTATATAGCTTCAATATCTTGTTTTAGTTTAGTGGTTTGAGTAGGTTAGAATTCTTCAATTCTAGTTACTATTATTTACTTTCCTTCTATTACTAGGGTTTTGATGCCTATTTAAGATTACTTTTTTTATATTTTATACAGACTTATTGATAATTGAATTGAACAGTGATATTTGAATTTTGCACTCTCTTTCTCTTCTCTATTTTTCTTTTGTTTATCCTTTTTTGTTAGGGAGTTCTTTTTCTCTGCATTACTTCTATGTCTTTCTTCTATTTAATACCTCTTCTACTGTAATTTCTACTCCTTTCTACATTCTCTATAAAACTAACCCTATCCTACATCAATTTTGGTATTGATTTTGCATTTGTCTTCTTTGTTTAATTTATAAATTTCTCATCAAACCTTTCAGTTAGAATAACAAAAAACATAATTGCACAAAAAAAACATTGCATTATTCAATTTAGTCATTTAGTAGCCTTTCATTGGAATATCTTGAGCTTTTACTTTGGTTTATGGTAACTAACAAAGTATTGGAAAAAAAAAAACTCATTAGGCTATGGAGGATATACCACGTAAAATGGAAAGCGGCATAGCTGACTTAGTTGATAATTCCAGAAAATCCTAACACTACTTGCCAACTAGGGAAACAACCTCTTGAATCGATTAGTATAACACACATTAGCATAGTGCCTAACACTAGCATTGTTGACCACGGTCCTTTATCCAGAGCTCCCATTCTCCAAGCACAAAGTGTTTCAATTAACAATCCACAAAACTCGGAAAGAAACATTGCCACACATAATTCTACTTTGAGTCAATAATAGGAAACTTCTTTTAGAGAATATCATGGTGCAAACTCGTTTGTTGGCAATTACTATCATGTTCCTCCTCAATCAACTACTAGGCATCAAACTAGGTATTCTTATAGGGGTTTTGGACATTTTGAGAATGAGGGTGGGAGGTATCAAAGGCAACAGAGACCTCAAGTTCCTTACTTGAGAGGAATTCATATAGGTTGCCAAGACAACCTTTTGTTGAGACATATGACTTCTAAAAAGGTCAAGGTAGACGCCAAGTCCTATGAAGGCAAGTTGGACCCCAATGCTTTTCTAAATTGGTTAGGAGAGAAGGAAATTGTTTTAGTATGGCAAGACATGGTTAGTAAGTTAAGGTAAGTTTACCAAAATAATGTTTGCCAAATGATACCAGAAGAGAGTTGAAAGAGAATTAGAGAGATTAGATGAAGAACTAATCACAACTTGGCTAGAGATGAAACAAAGTTGAAGGAAAACTACCTTTTCTCCCATCTTGAAAGACAAATGCTTGAACAACTTTCAACTTTGAATCAACTGTCTTCAAGTGTAACTCAATGCATGGATAATTTTGATAATCTAATATTGAGATGTGACCTTCATGAAGGGTTATTAACACTTGTTTCAAGATTCGTTAATGGATTAAGACAAAATGTAAAAGGAAGTCAAAATGTAAGCTCCGGATAGCTTAGAAAAAGCCTTAATAAACAGCTTTAGAATATGAACATTATTTTAGGTCTTTGAATCAATCAGAAGTAAAAGAGTCCCAGATTTCAAAATCTTCAACATTTAATAAGCCATTTGATACTAATCAAACTATTCTAGTTAATGGATTAAAGTTAATAAAGCTTTTGGTTTTCCTCAAAATGGTTCTAATAATAATGAGTGCTTTAAACTATCTTGCTTTTCATTGTCCTCAACATACTTTAACTCTTGAACATGAAAGATTGAAGTCCATTGAGGAAAATATTAATAAAGTAGTTCACCTTTTAACACCTAGTGAGGCATGTGAGGAAGTCAAAGATGCTCAATTTAATGTTATAAGAAGTCTATTTTCTTTACACATGGGTGGAAATAAAAAAGCGTGGTGTAGTGTGTTGCCTATAGATGTTGCTCATTAGATGCTCGGTCATCCTTGAATTTGGTATGGATTCAATTCATCATAGTAGAGAAACTACCTATAACTTTTAGTATAATGGAAAAGGAACAGTGTCCTTAAGTTAAGAAGATCTAAAGAGAAAGAAAAGACTTTCATGTGGTTATTCTTTCTATATTTAGCATTAGATTTTTCTCTTTAGGACTTTATTGGTTCCTATTATCATGGTCTTGCTCTATGTGCTACCAATAGACACTTGGTTGAATAAAGCTAATTGTTCATTTTTCATTGAAATGCACTTTGTGCCTTCAAGGTTTGATATCAGTGGCTATACCAAGTATTACACTCCCCATTTCTTGCCTCAACCTTCACATTATTTGTTCATACAAGTCTAATATGTCTTTGCTTAATTTTCCATCTATGAACACATTATCACTATTTTCAATATGGAGAATTGTTTTTATCAAGGTATCGTCAGGACTCTTGCCCTATAAGCTTGATGTTTCAGGTGGATCTGCTTGGAGTGAGACCAATTCATGTAGCTTCCACTTTGTGATTATGCATGCTTTCACTATTCAGAGGAGGGCAATGATAGGGAACTAGCTATATGGCTTTGATATATTGTTTATTATTGTAGTGTGAATCATTTTATTTTAATTGTTTTGAGCCAGTTAGATTTCTCTTCTATTCTTTTATTTACTTTTATCCTTTAAAAAGGATGCTGTTAGAATTTTGGTGTCTATTCAAGCGAACCTCTTCTATGATTTATGCAAACTTATTGATAATTGAATTGAACATCAATTTTCAACTTGTGCTACTCGCTTCTCTACATAAATAACCTAAGAAGAAATTTATCTAATTTCAACTGCTCAAGCTTTAAGAGCACAAAGGCCTATGGTGTTCTAATCTTCATCAACATTTACTGCATCATCACTGTCAATTATGTCTGCTCTCCTCAATCATTGGATGTGCTCACTGAGTGTTCTGCCCCTTTCTGCCTATTCTCTTCTAGATAAAAAAAAATCTCTTTAATTAAATTTAGTTTCCAAGTATCTAGATTCTTTTGATTTAAAACCTCACCTCATCACATAAGTTATACTAGGCTATATTGGAAACTAGAAAATTTTAAGCATTCACATGCTAAGGCATCCAAGGTGCTCAGGTTGTGCCTTATGTAGCCTCTTAGAAGTCAGGCATGTGCCTCACATGTTTCAGATAAGATTTTTCTATGCTTCAAAACAACTAAAAAGAGTGCACAAAGTTTAGGTGTTTCAGTAAATCACCTACTCCATAACCACTTCACTTAAGAAAAGCCTAGAAACACAAAGTGCAAATACTAGTTACACCCCAGAAATCTCTCTATATAAAATTGCAAAATCTCCTTGCAAAGCTTCGCTAAAAGCTCTCAACAAAGCCATAGAGGCATTGCTCACTACATAACCCAAATAAAGTCAAACTACTACCACTTAATACAAGCAACAACAACGACAACCATTAATAAATTGTACCAAAGACACACGTGTAACAAGTGCACAAGGAAGACTGAATTAGCTAGAGTTATGCTTATACCAAAAATAAACAGCCACATGTTGTTTGATTAAAAACAGGTAACATAATTGATCTAGATATTATATGATTGATCAATAGATTGGCACGCTCCACAAGACATTATATCCAATATTGTTCCATTAGTCAGTAATCATGCCACCTAAAAATAGGGTAAAAACATCATCACTATGATTGATGAATAATTAGTACAAGCAACTGACTAAGGCTAATTATATAGCCATGTAGAATCTGTAAGCCAATTGCCAATTCTATCGCCAATTTGGCAGTCTTAATTAGATTGTAAACCAAGATGGTTAATCATTGTTTAACTCCTTTAAGCAATAAAGAGATGCATATGGACAGAGTCATAACTCTTCCATACACTTTGCCATCATTCTCAATGTTGCTGCCTTTTTCAATTTCAGGAGGATTCAATGGCATTTCTAGACATGGGTAGATTTCTTCCATATTCTTTTAGGTTTTGTGGAGTTTAAGAAGAGTCTAAGACATGGTTTGGTAAATCAAGTATAACTTTTAATCTAATTGTTGGATCGAGCTGTAATTTTGATAGAAGATTTCGAAAGCCTTGTTTCTTGTTGGGTTAAAATCTCAAGATGAACAAAGATCAAAAGGCTTTCAAATAAGGCTTAAAAGTCATTGTGCATGATTGTCTTTATTTACCTTATTGCATTTGGATTCATTTCCTATTTAGATTAGGACTTTTAATTTAATTAGCACTTTACTATTTAGAAATTCTGATGCAAGATGGATTCTATTAGGTGAATCAAGCATAAATTTTAATCAAACCATTGAATCGAACTACAATTTTGATAAAAAAAAATTATGAAGGCCGTATTCCTTATTGGGTTAAAATCCCAAGATGAAAGGAGATTGAAAACGCCTTCAAATACGACTCAGAGGTTACAGTGCAAGATTGTCTTTATTTACCTTATTGTGTTTGGATTATGTTTTCTATTTAAATTAGGACTT